CTTAACCCTACATAGAGCAAACTCCCTCCATATCCTAGATGTCCTATTTTTTAGAAACAACTCAGGTCTATATGCTTTGAGTTGTAGGGAATTTAGATTTGCAGTTTTCCAGAAGCCTAGTACAAAAATCATCATCCAGCTCAGGTCAATTTCCTGCAAAGTGGTACTCTATTCTCTGTCCAAGTCAGACTAAACTGCTTAATAGCATATTTGTATTACCTTCACGGAGGCACAATCTGTACAGCCCATATACGGCGATACCCCCTTTCCCCTCCCCCCAGGATCACAAACCATTAATTAAATATCCATAATTGATTCCTTAAATCAGCGTACACTCTTCACACTGATCCCTTTATGGTTTTTGTATCATTAAAGATATAAACTGGCAGTATCAAAGTGGTTTTCGCTTAAGTAATCATTTTCACATCTTAATCTACCAAGAAGTGATAATTTATGTATAAAAACCGGGAATCTTATCTGTTTATAAGTTGGGAATATTAATGTGGTGTTAGCTATAGGGAGAAATAGATTTAAAGGGTGTTTGTTGAGAACCTTTGGTGAAGAATGATGCATGATGCATGATCTATGTTTCATAGCCAGCTGTGCATTAAGGGAGTAAGCTTTTGTAAATCATGTGGCTCCAACCACAGGCGACCCAGACGTAGTATCTGCCACTGAATGAATATATTAATATTCACATGGACAAATTAATGCGATAAGTCGTCAAAACTCCAATGAACTAAAATAGTCCAAAAGTCAAAATATAACAGAACAAAGCTAAGATACCTTCAACTGAACGTATCCTTGTCTTTCCTGGCCGGTTAAAGTGGCATTTTGTTGAGTTTTGCAATTGTAGGTACTATCTACTAAAGAAGAATGAAAGGCTGGCTACAAAACAAACAGACCATCTCCACGCGCCTTCACACGAAGCGCTATAAATTCGAGAATAATCGACGAATCCGCTCCAAATAACCATCGGCTAATCTGCAGGTAACGTGTGCTCCTGCTTCTGGCTCGCTTGCTCCACAAAACCCATCGCAACTGCACAATAATTGCTCGCTCATCAACAACAACTGTTGACCTTTACGCTTCGATATGACCGCAAACGACCAGGTTTAATACGCGACGTGAATATTCAAGCTTAGCGACCGCGTTCGCGCAACAATGCAGCACTTGCTATGGGAGGGATGGTACTATTGCTTCTAGGTCAGTCAATCGGGAAAATAATATTGAAGCCCTTGTAATTTTTAAAAAGATCCAATTTGCCCTAGGAGCACCGAACAGATACGAATCTTATAGCGGAGCTAAAAAAAAAATGAGCGGCAGTGGAAAAAGTGAACCATTTACCACATTTTCTCCATAAAAAGTGAAAACCAGGAAGTTTTCTGGACGTTTCACGTTGCAGTCATGCGAATCAACGGCAAGGAAATGTACAAGAAAGCGTGCTGCAATTAGACCTATTGTTGTTTTTCACAGTTCTGGTCAAGGGCATCCAACTTTTGATTTTTCACATTTCACTCACCGGGTTAGGCTATTTTTCGTAGCGAGTAAAATGGAATCCTAAAATTTTCGGATTCAAAAATGTGATGAAAGAAGGTATCTGAAAAATTATCTCCTTCGTAATACGTTAAATTGCATCTAAAATTTTCGGGAAAATAATTCTGAATTCCTCGTAATTTCGAAAAGACTCAAGTTTCTCTAGAATGGCCGAACACTGAGATGCAAATTTTATAGCGCCACTTAGAATGCGTTTCTATAGAGCTAAAAGTACTTTATGAATAGCTACAAAAGTGTTTTCAATTGATAGTATTTGAGGAAACAGTCGTTGGGTGGCCCTGTCTCGTTGCCTTCTCCGCTTAGCATTACACGATATATTTTATATTTAGTATGAGCAAACTATAAATCATTAGCTTCGCTTTTAGCCCTCCTGACTAAATTTATGTAAGCGCTGTTTAGAATGCATTTTTCGGTCAAAAGTACTCTGGACAGCCTTAAATGTGTTTTCAATGCATTTAGGGGGAAATCATCGTTGGGTGCCCCTGCGTTTTGAGAATAATAATAATAATAATAAAAGATATCGCCCACATAAATTTTACTTTACGATATCTTCAACTGTATCTTCTATTCAGCTGCATAGCGGGGGCCAGATTTTGCCTTTTTCCTGGGCAGAAAATTCTCGTCCTCCTTCACCAGTTTGGACAACATATTATGGAGTAAGACGTTGTTAATCTAAGCAAAGAAGTGTGGTAGAGTCAAGAACCTATGCGAGCGGCTGGACGAACAATGTGACAGCAGCTGAGACAGCGAACGTTAGAAGAATTCGAACTTGAAAACCAGGGCTGCCCTGTTGAAAACTTACAGACGGTCCCGCGATCGCCTTTTGTTTTCTGGTCAAAACTAACGTAGCGAACCTTCGGTCAGTCGATTGACCTAGAAGCAATAGTATCATCCCTCCCATAGCAAGTGCTGCATTGTTGCGCGAACGCGGTCGCTAAGCTTGAATATTCACGTCGCATATTAAACCTGGTCGTTTGCGGTCATATCGAAGCGTAAAGGTCAACAGTGGTTGTTGATGAGCGAGCAATTATTGTGCAGTTGCGATGGGTTTTGTGGAGCAAGCGAGCCAGAAGCAGGAGCACACGTTACCTGCAGATTAGCCGATGGTTATTTGGAGCGGATTCGTCGATTATTCTCGAATTTATAGCGCTTCGTGTGAAGGCGCGTGGAGATGGTCTGTTTGTTTTGTAGCCAGCCTTTCATTCTTAGGGGTCGCGAATGGTACCTCGAAAAACGTGGGTCTCGGAAAATTTTGGCACGATCTCGAAATCTCGGAAACGTTTTTGATAAGTCTCGAAGTCTCGTTTTTTCATGGTTTGTTTTTACTTTTTTTGAGTATCGAAACTTTTCACCAAAGAGTCTCGGGCTCGGATTTCTAACTAGGATCTCGGCGTCTCGGCAAGTCTCGGATTTTACCATTCGCCACCCTATTCTTCTTTAGTAGATAGTACCTACAATTGCAAAACTCAACAAAATGCCACTTTAACCGGCCAGGAAAGACAAGGATACGTTCAGTTGAAGGTATCTTAGCTTTGTTCTGTTATATTTTGACTTTTGGACTATTTTCGTCCATGGGAGTTTCGACGACTCATCGCATTAATTTGTCCATGTGAATATTAATATATTCATTCAGTGACACATATTACGTCTGGGCCGCCTGTGCTCCAACAAGCCTAGTGACCAGACAGATGCTACTGACACTACCATGCTATGTCAGCAGAACATTAACCCCAAACACTGACAGAAGCCGAAGCCTTTGGAAGTTGCTGCTTTTTAAAACTGCACAGTAATTTCAGTTTGGGTTTTGGACAGTGGTATTTTGCAAATCCCGCAAATTTTCAACCTGTTTTACTCGTGCACATGGGAATTTTACATGAAGTTTTATTTAAAAAATTCAAGTGTTTTTGTTGACAAATAAGTAACTAACCTAAGGATTACTCCTTTATGTATTATTGAGGCAATTTTTTTAAAAAAATGTAGATAAAAAAGATCATTATCAATTTGTTCTATTAAACTAACCAGAGTAAGAGTTTTTGGAACCGATTTTAAGTTGAAGGTGCTTTTAGACACCTTTCTCTCTGTTTATTTAAAATTTTTTGAAATGGCACCATTATTCCAATTATTGTGAAGACGATCGACTGTCCCACTTAAAGGGTCTACCATAGTGCACCAAGAGTTATGAAACATGGATCATAACATCTTTTTCTTCATCTTCTCATGCATCTTCTTTTCATTTTCTTAATTGAAAAAGCTCCTCCAAAGTGTTTTGTTTTATGTGAAAGTTAATGTACATATAAAAACTGCATGACTGACTTGCTTAGAGCAGTGCCATTTTTAGTAAACAGTGCAATTAGAAAAGGAAATATAATGCAAAAAGAAGGAAAGGAAATGCACATTCCTCAGAGAATGGGAAATATCTCAGAACCAGTCTGAGGTGCCACTTCTGCTGGTGGGAAGCTAAAGTTTGTGAGTGGAAAAATTGCCGATGTACAAAGCAAATTTTAGTTCTGTTACAACAGAAAATACCACTGAACAATTGAAAAAACGTTCCAAAACAAAAAACATTGTAAAGAGAATCATATATTGAGTTGGTGTTTGAAACTACTGTAAAAAGAGGAAGGATTTTTAGAGAATATTCAGAAAATCGAGCCTGCCAACTTTCATCTTTCTTGTGACTCACACGACAAGTAATAAAAACTATAACAGGCACCAAGATTTTGAAATAAATAAAGACGTGTGTGATTATGTTTATGATAAAATAAACAATAGGAATATGTTAAACCTTTTTTTTACATGCATATGGACTCAAAAGAGCAGCTACATAATTCATTGATTATGCCTTTTCTCTTGTTTTTCAAGTGTTGTTGTCGGTGACAATTTTTATGATGATACATCACATTTGTACTTAATTTTTCTGACTGGTTTATAGGAGTTTTGTTTTATTTGCATTTGATTGTGCATATTATTGGAAAACTTACGTTAACTTTGTATTACTTTAACTTGCACGCATCAGTTAAAATACATCGAGTGCTTGTATTGAGATAATTATTAATCTTTTTTCTGATTTTTTTTTTTAATGATGATTAAATCTCAGTAAATATCACAACAACCTTTGTTGTATTATGTAAGGTTGGAAGGTATAAATATTGTGTATTTTCTATTTGAATTATATATTGATATAGCTTATTGTATAAATAGTGATAGTTCTTGTAAATAAGCAGTACTAGCGAGGGTGCGAAGAAAGCCCGCTTTACAGCTTGTTTTTCGGGCAGGCTGTAGCTAGCATATATTTTTGCTAAGTTCTTCTGTAATTGAATACCCAAAATAGCGTCACTTGTCCCTCAGGCAAGATAAAAAATAGAATCCATTAGCCTCATAGCTTCAAATATTTATAATTGTGTACAGCTAGTGGTTGGTAATTAATACAAATAATTCATTTACTAGGAGAAGAGTTGGAAAGGGACGCTACTGTAGTAGCCAATGGTCTGATTGAGGTGGCAAACATCTCCCTGGGGACACAGCAAATTCCTCCAGCAGTAAGTAGTAGTAGCTACTTAGAAGATGAACGCATAATTGCTAGAGCAAGGGCAGTTGGTCTGGACTATGAGTTTGCAAAGCCTGGTGTAGTGGAAACAGAGGATGACAGGAGAAAAAGACAGCGGCGAAACCAAAGACGAATATCAGAACAAGAGAAAAGGTTGCGAGAAGTTGTTGGAGATCTACCGCCACCTCCACCAGCAGGTTCAAGTCAGCAAGAAGATAAGGCGTACAGTGCTATTCGTGCATTTGAGGTGGAGCAGATGACTTATGCATTCAGTTTTTGTGAGGTCTGCAAGGAACGACGACTGGAGTGCAAGGGCACAAGAAACATGTGTACTCGCTGCAGGAGAGATAAGAAGGTACCAAAAGTTTGGTTAGGAGAGAATAACATGGATCCAATGGCTGTTCCTGAGATTTTGTCTGACATGTCAGATGCTGAACAGATGCTGATAGCCAGGCTAGCACCTACCGTGCATGTACACTTACTGAAGCATGGAGGTATCGCTTCAAAGGGGCATTGTATTGCATTCCCACAGGCTGTGCAAGAACCGGCAACTGTTCTTCCACGACTACCGGCAGAGGTGGATATCATACGCGTGAGAAGACAAGGAAAAGATGATACCCATAAGGACGTCAGGGTTAGAAGACACCGTGTTGAGGGGGCGCTTCGTTGGTTGGAGGACAACAATCCTGCCTATGGTGATGTTGTTATTGATGGTGCTCGCATACAGAATTTACCTGAAGATGGTGAGTTGCCCAATTTGAGAACTGTTGAGTTTTCTGAAACAGAATGGGTAGATGACCAAGGCCCGGCTCCACAGCAATTGGACGCTGGGGAAACAGATTGCACTGATGACTCTACAGTCTCTGGAGTAATTCTCCCTGAGCCTGGAGTTAACGTACAAGCACAAGTTGAAGCAGCCGTAAATGAAGTTGTGTCAGAATCTAGGGAGGGTGAACCAGAAAATACCCAACAAAGAGTGGAACGACCAGTGATTCCTTGGCCAACCACGGACACGACACCAGCGTCAGAGTTTACCACTCCATACTTTTTTACGATGGCATTTCCTTGCTTGTTTCTCTATGGAAAGGGTGATATCCACATAAATCGGCCAGTGACATGTCCTTCACTGCATGACTGGGCAGAGCACCTGCTGTGGTACCAAGACGGAAGGTGTGCGAGGCATAAGGTGTGGAAGTTTGTTGTCCACAATATGATCATGAGGAAGCGTGCCCTGGAGCAGAGCCGGTTCTTTGTTGATCAGCAACTTGGTGACCCACACATAACTGTTGGAGACCTGCAAGAGCGACTTGCGAGAGGTGACACTTTTACCGACAAGTTGTTGTATTTTGGCGCAAATCTGCGCGGTACAGCTCAGTACTGGCACCAGAGACGCAGAGAGCTTCGTGCCCTTGTGGAGTTCATGGTCAATGAGAAGCGTGGGTTGCCTTCATTTTTCATGACTGGAAGCTGTGCCGAGTTCTACTTTCCTCCTCTTAGAAGGCTACTGGAAGAGTACATCTTGCAGACCAAAGGTGAAGAAGTCAACCTTGCTGAAGATAGCAATGCCCGCTTCAAGGCAGTACAAGAAAATACTCATGTCGTGGTGAGTTACTTTGACCTGCGTACCCAGGCATACCATGAGAAGGTACTGAAGCCGGTATTCGGTGTCTCTGATTATTGGTACCGCTATGAGTTTGCCAAAAGTCCCGCGGTCAAATTCATTGGCACCAACTCAGCTGGAGGGAAGACAGGCAACCACATCAGCTATTGCATGAAGCTCGTGAAGATGGTTGCGAAGAGGAAGAGTATGCAGCTAAACTTAGTCATTGGGCAGATGAAACCTTTGCCATGACAGCATTACATCCAGCTGGCAATGACGAAGAAGGGCAGCCAAGAAAAGACCTCTGGCCACAACCTGAGGGAACGGCTGAGCCCATATCAGATGATAGGGATCCCTTAGTTAGGATGCTAATGTAAATAGCTGCAACACAAGATGCAATACTGGAGGATCATTTGCTTTTAGTAAACAGGGTTGGACTCCACAGTTGCTCTGATTACTGCTTCAGAACTCCTCGCCATCCGGAGCAAGGACTGCAGCCGAGAGAACGTGTATGCCGGATGGAGTTTGGAAGCGAGTTCCACCCAGGGAAAACAAGTCCCAGTAATCCGGAAATTGTGGAAGATAATAATGGAGCTCCCCGCCTAGAGATGCCACGTGACCATCCACGTGTGGTTCAGCATTCTCGTTATCAGTTACAATCCTGGAGAGCAAATGGGAATGTAAGCTTGATTCTTTCCAATTCCCCTCTCGACAATCCTAGCACAGATGATATCATAGCCATAATTGACTATGTCTGTGGATATGCTTGCAAAGATAGCGAACCTACTGGTGCAACTTCTGATCTCTTTAAGGACATGGTGAATGCTGTTGATGCAGGTGATGTAGACCAGGTGACAGGCAAGTCAATGTGTGCTAAGATGTTGATAAAGACAGTAGGAAGACGAGATATCAGTGGACCGGAGGCTTCCTTTGAACTGAGTGGGCTAGCACTTTGGCGATGTAGCCGTCCATTTACATACTTATCAATATCAGGGTCAAGGAGACTTGAACGTGATGGTGAAACTGCAACTCGCAGCACCCCACTGGATAAGTACCTTGCACGACCGCAAGATGAACACTGTTCTTGGTACCACTTTGCATCAAAGAACGGTAATGTTCCTGTTGTAAGTGGAGGTTCTACGCATGCAACATGGCCACTGAATGAAGACTACTGTAGGACCATGCTCCTGTTACATTGGCCAAGCTGGTTTGACATCCAAGAAGTGAAGGGGGATGCAGAATCTTGGATTGATCGCTTTAAAGACTTTTTTGCAAGTGATGACTGTCCAACATTTGTGAAGGCCCAAGTTGCTAAGGCACGACGTTTTGCAGACCACCCACAAGAACCAGTATTTGAAGAGGATGAGGAAGATGATGCTGTTGAAGCAGAAGAACAGCCAGACTGGGTGGATGTATATGCAGGGCAGAACCATATATATGAGGGTGTAGAGAGGGACTTTGATTATGATGATGGTGGTGAGGACTATGACTGGAGCAGTACCCGTGTTATTCTCCCTGAAGGAAAAGACCCAACAAAATGGCTTCAAGAAAGCATTAAAGCTGATGACGAACGGGAGACAGAAAGTACAGACCTTGATTTACCTCAGGTGTGTCTGCTGTCTCTAAATGAGAATCAGAAAGCCATAGTGGGGCTTGTGTTGCACACCCTGTACAACTTCGTTGAAAACACTGGATATTACCATCCACTGCGGCTTGTTGTCTCTGGAACTGCTGGTACAGGAAAGTCTTATGTCATAAAGTGTCTTCAGAGGTTAGTGCGGCAAGTTTTTGACACCAATGATGCAATACAGGTGATAACTCCAACGGGGAATGCTGCCTATCTCGTTCAAGGCAGTACAACTCACAGCTTTCTTGGAGTACCAACAGGTGGAAGGCCTTGCAATGAGTTGACTGTACCTACAGGTCCCTTACTAGAGAAAATTCAGAAAAAGTGCGAAAATCTGAAAGTTCTGGTTGGGGATGAACGATCAATGTTTGGACGCACAACAATGGGCTGGATGGAACAGCATGCACGTTATGCAATCAACAAAGGAGCCAATGCAGATCAGTTATGGGGAGGGATTCCTGTAGCAGTGCTTATGGGAGATGATGTTCAGCTTCCTCCTGTGTGTGACACCCCCGTGTACATCTCAGATTGTCGTAGTGCACCATCTAACCATGGTCGCTTGGTTTGGACAATGTTTGATAGCGCTGTTGAGCTTACTCAGATTATACGGCAGAGTTAATCTGAACAACAACTGAGAGATGTGCTGATGTCACTAAGAAATTATACCACAACACCCCAGCAAATCCATTGGCTACAACAGTTTCAATGGCACAATCTCCGCATGTCACATGGGCCAGACCTCCTTGCTAGGATGGATGAGCAAGGTCTGTACGTATTTCTCACGCACCGTCTTGAATGGCAGCGTAATAAAACAAAGCTGCTTGAGTGTAACAGACAGCCAAACCACCAGTAGCAAAGATCAAGGCAGTTCACAATGGCAGACATGCAGTGAAGGCTGACAGTAATAAGGCGGGAGGATTGTTACCTCTACTGTATCTTTCCCGTGACAGCAAAGTCATGCTGGTGGTTAACTTAAAGGCTGATTGGGGTTTGTTCAATAGGGCGGTAGGTACAGTTGTAGACATTGTGTACAAAGATGGCCGCAGACCTACTGATGATCCTGCTCCAGTACCTGATGTGGTTCTGGTAAGGTTTCCAGGATATAGGGGGCCACCGTACATTAATGACGATCCTACAGTTGTGCCAATTGTACCAGTAAGTCGATCCACTGATTGCGCATGCCGATGCAAGCGTCTGCAGGTTCCATTGCGACTGGCATGGGAAACAACAATCCACAAATGCCAAGGGATGACTGTGGGTGCTGGAGAAGCATTCAGGTATGTAGTGGTTCACCCCGGGGACCATGGCTTTGAAGCCAGAAAGCCAGGACCTCTATTTGTGGCATTGTCAAGAGCAAAATCAGCAGGCGGGGAAGGAAGAGATCCTGATTTTGCTTTTCATGAAGATGTATTGATAAACAATGACAGATTCAGACCTGTTGACACTCCAACTACAAGAGCTAGAGCAGTGGAGATGGAGAGACTGCATGTCTTAGCAACTCAGTGTCGGCAGAGAAGGGTGTTAGCACCAGCGTATAGGGAGGAAACCTTTCTCAGACTCGTAGAGTGGGCTCAGTCTCAAGATCATCGTTGAAACATGTGGTTTAAGTTTTGACAATAATATTGGTTCAGAGGTGAAAGCCTTAGCATGGTGGTGTCTTGTTTGCAGTCATATCAATAAGATAGCCCTAATGCCTATGATGTGATGAATTGTACATATCCAAGCACGGTCAATAACAGTGCAGTTATGCTGTAACCAGCCTGTGTGGCTTAGGGCCTTCTGGCCATGTATAACAAATAAAAGTTCCGTTATGCTGCAATCAGCCTGTGTGGCTGAGGTCCTTTGTGGCCATGCATAACAAATAAAAGTGCCGTTATGCTGTAATTAGCCTGTGTGGCTGAGGGCCTTTGTGGCCATGCATAACAAATAACAGTGCCGTTATGCTGTAATCAGCCTGTGCGGCTGAGGGCCTTTGTGGCCATGCATAACAAATAAAACTTCCGTTATGCTGTAATCAGCCTGTGTGGCTGAGGGCCACACAGTCTCCTTACTTTATTTAACTTACAGTAAAAACCTGCATGTTTGATGAACCTACTTTTTGAAATTCAGTGAACTCTCGCCTTGTGGACATCTTGCTATAAGGAACACCCTGATAATATGGATGGCAGCTAAATACCAGCAAAAATAAATTATAGACGTTTGACTGAAATAAACTTCACATCCACTATTATGGACTATCACTAATGAAGACACTAACTCAAGCTCTTTATAGTGTCCACTTTAAAGGAAGTTGACTGAATGGCAAAATAGGTTCTTGTACTTTGGATACTTATTGGCAGTTAATATTTATGCATACTTAGTAAATTCTGGTTAAATCAGGTCCATTTTTCTCTATGAAAGATATAATATTAAAAATACTGTTTTTGCTTCAGTTCTAAAATCTATAAGTGTATCTCTATAGTTTATCATAGTTAAACTATAAACCAAATAAAAGAGCCTGCTTGATCTTTCTTGGTTTAAAGCATGTAGGTTCTTGTATTATTGGTCATTAAAATGATCATTTCTGCTCGAAGGTTTTTTTAAGTAAACCACTTCTTTTACATGCTGGTTTTTACTGTACATGTAGTTATCAAACTTCACTGCTCTTGTCATGTCCTCAATTACATGCTAATGGCATTTGTTTTCACAATTTCACTGCCAAAGGTAGGCCAAGTTCAGATATGCCATGTTACAGTTATAGGCTTAGTATCCTAGCCTTGAGTGAATGCAAAGCTGAGGTTGACCTTTTTTGATACAAACCTGCTTCCTTTTCTTATGGAAATTATGCTTAAAAATACTAGTTAGCATAAAAACAACATAATTTACATAATCAAGCAGGAAGGGTCGTATGAATACATTACAAGGTCAACTCCAACCGTGTTTTCACCTGTAACTGTAAAATGGACTATTTAAATAAAATTCTAAGCTTCATTTTGTAAAATGGTGAAAGGCATATTTTAAAATACTACTACTTACAAAGAGCTTTAACTTGAATAGTCACACCATACAAAGTAGGATTTGTCTTCAAAATCAAAAGGTAAATCATTATTAACTATCTTACAAGACTACATTCTTCACTTTGCAAGTGAAAGGGTTAATGGCATCCGGACCCAGTCCTTGATTGTATGTGCATTCTGTTGGCTCAGTATTTTTTAGGAAAAGCTTTTTTTTACTTTTTTCCTGGGTAGTAGTGTATTAGCTAGGGATGGTAAATTTAGAGATAATCAACAAGTTATTGAAGTCAAACATGTGATGATAAAAAACTATAGAGATAATTGCATAGTTAGACTTAATTAGTACATATATTTCTTCAACAACCATACATGAGCTTCTGGATAGACTGTGCTGAACTGCTGAATAGATTCCATAAACAATATTTCACATTCATTGTCCTCAATTGCTGATTCTGTGAACAACTGTCAGATAAATACTAAACCTTAACTGCTTATCCCAGTGTAAACAGCTTCAATATAAAATGAAGTCTATGCCTTTGTTCAAAGTGACCGGTGCCAATGGTATTACTGCAAAACAGGCGGGTGCTCCAGGTACGTCGTCATCATTACCAAGATTAATCGAGTATGTATGC